CTATCTATCTATCTATCTATCTATCTATCTATCTATCTATATAAATGTATTGTGTAACCGTCTGCGATCCTGTATACTCAGTTGTGACGCAAATATGCATTCTGGCAACAGTTAACAGACAGAGAATCAACACAATATTACCCTATCGATCGACTCAGCATGTGTTTGACGTTCAAGAAGAATAGCGAATCCAAGCAAAAGGTTTGTGTATGTGTGCAAGACAGAAAAGTAACTTAATCCCAGCAACGGACCGTGGACGAATTTGAAGTGATGAAGAACGTGAATGAACAAAAGTTGACGTTGAAACCAGCCGTGGTCAACTCGACCTAGCGAATACAGTTTACGTCGAAATTTACGTAGGGATCCTTTGTCACGACTTGGGGACCGTCCCATTCGACTCGTATTCGTATTCTTGTTTACTTTTACCACTCGGGTTGACTACTGATCCAAACAGCACCCAACATATTCATATATGACACGTAAATAAACGGAACGTATATGAACCTAACTGATATCACGAGCGAATCAAAACTCGATTGCAAAACAACGTTATCCGTAAGTTTGTCCCATCAGTGATTTGGGGAACTGAAATGTTTCCAACACCACTTGGCTGAATACACAGACGGAAACAACAACTATACAACAGTAGAAATACAAACACACGTCTGTTTCGTTAAAACAACTCACCAATGCACGGGCATTCACATCACACTGATGTTCGAGCAGAATACGTGCAACCTCCCGATTTCCACAGTGAGCGGCCACATGCAATGGGCTGAGCAAATCCTACAAAAAAGTAATGGGATAAAAACATTCGGTGACTACATGATTACTGAAGGGTGAAAAAACAGTCCAAATATACAAGTACCGTGTTTGAAAGTCCATGGAAAGAGGTGTTGTTATCTTGTTCCGCTGAACATTGTTCGATTCCGCCTCAAGCTCCAAATGAATACCACGATCAGCGCAGGTAAGAAGCCCCTAACAATTAATCAGGCGATAGTCCGATCTTAGTGGGTCAAAAAGCACATGAAGATGGTTTCAGCTAAACGACAGTGACAACCAATCGCCGATGAGAGATATATTAGTTTGCGCAATCTAACCAAATACGGAGACAAAACGGAGATAACATGAAGTTCCAGTAGCGTGAGCGTGATAAAAGCTAATGCGGTGTGGCCCCGTAGCTTAGTTGGTCGAGTGTGCGTTGTACAAAAGCGTAGGCGGCGTCTACGCGTGTGGGTTCGAATCCCACCGAGGCTACTGAACTTTTCACAATCTCAACATAAGACGTTCATCTGCCACAATGTGAACAAAAACTAGTGCGTTAGAGCTAATGTGGTCATATCAGGCAGGAGTAAACGAACAATCATAGGCAGACGAAATACCTGAATTTCACTTGTTCAGGCACAGCCCACACAAATGAATCACATTCACAAAAAGTGTTCGCTCTCGATTAGATTATATAAGGGAGTGGACCACGCCCAAGCATATGTGAGCAGGCCTCATCCCAAACCCTTTGGATTGCATTTTCCAGTCGTCCCACTAGTGAAACTGAGTAGAACAACGGCAACACGAGATTGACAGGAAGCTGAAACTCTCTTTCTCCCCCACCCTCCACCCCCTTCCACACACGAAGAAACACGATTCTATTGGGATATGCGACCAGTAGCGTTCAGTGAGCTGGAAATTCGTATACATTTGACTTTGAAAATGGAAAAGCATTTTGTGACGTGGGAAGACCTGATAAAGATTCACAACACCTAAACAAATTGCATAGTCATTCAAAGGTTCATCTGGCAAAGTTCTGTCTTCGAAAGCACACACACTCGGTGCAAGAAGTCACTTATCCAAACCGAATAGATACCTAACGAACGATATCAACTAGTTGGAGTGAGCAAACGATACGAAACAAAAACAGACAGACAGGCAAGGCACGAATTAGGAGACTGAAAAAATCCGTCGAACACATGAACCATGTTTCTAAAGAAGACTACACAATTCTCTTAACTATCAGTAGTTATACTAATGAATACGACGGAAAGAAGAATAACTCGTTCTTGCACGGTTCGGGTAAATGGTTGATCCGACATATAGACACTGAACTAGTCACACTGTGTGTGTGGCACTAACTTGACAACAGGGGAAACAGATTTCCTACGAGCTGATTGAGCAGTCTGGAAGAGCAGGTCATTTTTTGCGAGACGTGTACGTTCATGGCAAAGATAGATCATCTTGATGAATGCAATGAAGGGTATGAGGGATGGTACATAAGTGCCAACTCATGTACTACACACGATCGTTTTTTCGCCTAAAAGAACTGTGATCAGTCAGAACAATGGGCGGACAAAACACAACGCCGTTCAGGCTGTATTAGTGGATTGTATCGGTGTACGCGCATGGGCGAACTGGATAAAAAGCTGTAAAAGTGGAACGTGGCTAGTCGTCTAAGGGCAGCAAAGGCACAGCGATCACTGATGCTGACTGCAGGCGCGCAGAACAAGATAGTGATGATCTGATTAGAAGCTATCGGCAATTAAATAAAAAGAATAATTTTACGTTGAATTATAGCTCATCATGTGATTCACGATTGATGGGAATAGATCCCTTCGGGATGCTCTACTGATTGTACTCTGTGTACCTCCGTGCTCGTAGAGTTTGGCAAAGGTAAGATGAGGCGATCAACTAAGCAATGTCGAGGTAAAACCACCTGCTGAAAACACCCCTCACGGAACACAAAGCTTATATTAGAGATGGCAATCAACCCAACGTTGTACTAATCATAATTCGGTTTCGCACAGCAAAACCACGACTTGCATCGATGCCTATCAGCTTGACAAGCAGAGATCACGGAACTTCACAACAGCTTACAATACGAGTAGTTGAACGGCGCACACACACGCATACAGAGATTTGAAGCAGCCAAATGGTTTTAGACCAACTCACCCCTGTTTTGTCTTCTACACTGGCTCCGCGCATGATCAGCACCCGAGCGACATCCTCATGATTACCCTGAGCGGCCATATGCAATGGTGTGAGACCATTCTGAGAGACGATACGGGACAAGGCAACGTGCAACGCAGATGAGGAGAGGGAGGATCACGGCGATCACGAGCAATGCACAGTTGTTAGTGAAAGTAAAAAAAGAATACAAATCCAAACTGATTCGGCAGCAAAAAGTTGTGATTATCAANATCACTGATCTGTGGATACACATCTGACTATATGCTCGTATTGTATGCACTCATCATCATCATAACAGTTCCCGTGGCTGTTATCACTCATCAGGCATACGTTTCCGGTAATCACCGGTCAATTCATTCATATAATTTTAGCCAGGACGTGTATTCTAGTCACAATGACCACGAAACCGGTCGTGTGCTTCCAGGAAAATTTTGTCGAGTCATTCAGATACTACTTATTACGAGACATTCTATAAAGATGCTCAAGTCACGTTTGTTCCGATTAGTAGCATCTAACCGANAATTCCAGTATTGATTCTTCAATGGACTGGCTTTGAAAGAGTTGTCCGTCCAAAATTACCCGGTGTTGCAAATGAAGTCACTTTGTCACACTTCGTGGTGAATGTTCAGCGGCTGCCAAATAATTTCGGGGCGTTTTAAACAATGGTCGGTGGTGGTCCGGTGGTAACGTCATCAAATTGTCACCCCGGAGGACGTGTGCTTGAATCCCAGCATCACCGCATGATTTTGCCTAATGATGTGCTGTATGACAGCCCTTTGATTGACCGCTTTCCCCTCCCAGAAAACTGTATTATTGTGCGTTCAATAAAAAGAAGTAAAGCAGAAAAAGAATGCATGATCATATGTTCATACCGATAACTGGTAAAAAAGGAACCAGTGGTGCAATGGATTTGTGGTGAATCAATTCAGCATTATGAATAAATCACACGATATACCCATTGTTCTGTCAGAGAAGT